TGGGAAATGACATACTATAGGGCACTCCACAACCATTTGTTAACTACTTGCGCCACTCCTCCATGAACTTAATTTCTAAATGTCACTTTTTTTAAATCAACAGAAATGTGATGTGAAAAGATTAGCAAGCAGAAAATAACTGGAATCTATAGAAATATTTAAATTAAGTCTCAGAGCATGTTACATCTCCTCAGGATAGGTACAAACATGAGATGTCTGTGTATCAGATTATGAAGTATGGATCCAAAGTGACTTACTACTTTATAATGATGATCATTTTTCTCCACGTCTGTCTATTAATACAATTGACAGCAGCTTTTTATTTCCTTCACATCTCAAACAGGGAATAAGAAATTCTTTCTGCAGTTTAGTTTACCTAAATAATAACACTGTGCAAGTTCAGGTACTCAACACATTTAGACTTTCTTAATAAACCAATTTAAAACAAATGGTATTAAGTGCCTGTTTAGCCCTCAGCTTCGGAGAGACTGGTTTATTTGTCATGAAAAGAAACCTATTTTCATGACATATTAAAACTAATTCAGAGTTATCTTAAGTAAACACATTTTTCCTGTAGGTAAAATTGAAAATTAATTCCTTTCTTTATGTTTGCCTTGAAGATACAGACTTCTTATGACAAAATAACTTTAATAAAACATGAAAAATAATCAATAGACCTTATGAATTTCTGCATGTGGAGATGATTTACAGGTTATGAGAGACATGTGGAAGTCTTACATGCAAAAGGCTCAAATTCTCAAAAACAAGAAATGCAAGAGTTGCAGCACAATGGGAAATGGCACTGTGCTGCCAGGAAGCATTAACATTGTACATGTACAAGTACATTGCACCAGTACTGTAGCAGGGTTTTACTGAGCAATTCTAGTTTAAGACCCTCTGTATCTGAAATGTAGTTTTACAAACTCTGATTAACTTTTGCTAAAGAATCTGCAAATCTAGCCACCCATTTCAACAGGTGGAGGAACTTTATGGGACTAGTGGTGAAAGGGGACAGCTCCAGCAATAAGACAGGGAGATATTCACTGAGGGACAACAGGTAACTCCTCTGGCACTCACTTACCAGTTTGGGGAGAGGAGTGCTATTTGGCCAGCATTCCTCAGCTCCCAAAATTTAACCTGGAGCAGAGCTGCTTCCTTTCCCCACCTCCTCTGGCTGGGTTAATGCCCAGGAAAAGCCCAAGACTTCCTGGTGCAGGGTGCCTAAGTCCCACACACACTGGCATGAGGAAGCCTCTTTGCCCATCAGCTAAGTTCTGGAGTAGCAGGGAAGGGGCAATTTCCAGCCTGTTCACACCTGATCCTGACAGGCTCCAAAGCAGCCCCTCGGGCAGGGGTGGGCATGAGGCAGCCAGCAGGTCAGATCCAGCCAACCATGCCACCAGATCTGGCCAGCGGCTGCCTTGCAGGAACCCTTAGACACAGAGCAGCTCGTGCTTTAAACAGCTAGCTGCTCTGCATGCTGGGGAGGGATGAGGGAGACATCACATGCTTCTCTTCCCCTCCACAAAATTTTCCAGTCAATAGAAGTTGAGAAATTTTACCCGGGAAAGAGGCAGCATGTGAATCCTCCCTCCCTTCCCCATCCCATGACCAGAGTAGAGCCACATGGAGCAGCCAGCAGCCTGTAGCAGACAGCCTGCCTCAGGCTCCTACGCCTCCCAGCCAGAGCCTGCCTCTGGCACCCCAACCCCACACTCCCAACTACCTGCCCCAGGCAACCACCCAAAACCCTCTGTACCTCTTTTCCCCCCTTCTCCCAGGTCACAACTCCCTCCCAGACCCTGCACTCCCTTCTGTACACCTCCCCTAGGCCAGAATCCTCTCCTGCACCCATATCCCTTCCTGAACACTGCACCTAAAGCCCTGTCCCAGATCACAACCCTCTCCTTCACTCAAACTCTCTCTCAGACCCCACACCCAAGCCCCCTATCCCAAGCTCCATTATGCACTCAACCTCCATCCCAGGCTACGGATGTAATAGTGTAGTTGATTAACTAGTTAACCAATTAGCACATGCTTATAAATTAATACTATAGATGACATGCATTTCCCTTCCCCCGACCCTTGGCAAAGGCTTATAAATTAATAGTATAGATTACATGCATTTCCCTTCCCCCGACCCTTGCCAGTAAATTTTTTAGCAGGCTGGCCAGCAGCCTAGCTCAGTTCTGGCTCATGCCAGGTCCAGAACCTACCCCTTCTGAAGCTCTGCATTTTAAGTGTTTTAGGAGCCAGGTGGGCAAGCAGCCCAGCTTAGTTCCGGCATGCACCGGGTCCAGGAGCTCAGACCCCACCGTAGACAGGGGTTGCTGCTGCCTCTATCAACAGCAGCAGCAGCACTGGGTGACAGGTAGCCAGTCCACAAGGGGAGCTATTTTTTAAACTGAGCTCTCCTGATGGACCAGCTCCCACCCTGCACTGCTGCCTCTGATACAGTGGCTGCCGGCCCCACCCCTGGGTACTATAGACTAGTCGACTAATGAATAAAAATTCATGAGGTTAATTGACTATTCAACTAACCAATATTTAACATTCCTATCCCAGACCCCGAACCCCTCCATGGAAGTACGACCTTTGACCACTTGTCAAAATCTTGGAGTGGCCTTCCACTAAAAATGATTGCCCACCCCTGCCCTAGGGTAAAGGTAGTTACATTTGAGAAAGAAATCCCATTTTCTGGATTTTGAGAGTAACATGTTTAAAAAAAAAGTCATTTCCTCTCCTAGTGCTGTTTTTCCACAGACTTCCTGCTGTGATCCAGTTCATTATCATCCTTTCTTCCCTTGAACTGTATCTACATTTATAGGAAAAATATTTTTAAATTTCAACATCAATTATTTCTACAATTATGTATTTTATATTTTATTCTAACACCACATTGTTTTGTTTTCCCTTCTAGAAGGACAAGTTGGTCAGTGACTATGTCCCAATTTACCAACCACAATTCACATCAGAAAGTATGTTATTACATCAGTACGGCAGTCCCTATTTAAATTACCAACAGAATTAACTACTCAGCCTATGGATGACAGAATCTGAGGTATGATTGGTATGCATGTTAGTGATCTATCGTGGTACTGTACATCACAAACATACATTAGGCATTGAAAAATTAAGACAAATGGAAAGCAAGATGACCTTTACCGAAAGAGTACGGTAAAACAGTTTTATTCATTTTCCCATAAGAATTCTAAAACAATATTGAATTGGTAGTGGTGTGAATTAAAAAGAAAATATCACTAAAATTGAATAAAGTTAAAAAGAAATCTGTTGGGCATTTCAAGAAAAATCAGAAAACTAATTAAACAGTCACTCAAATATAACAGAGAGAGTGACAGAATGTTTTCTCAATTATATGCTTCAATAGTCTGTTGCTGCCAAAAGCTTTCCTTCCCACTCAATATGTTTTTATTTCAGGTAAAAAAAAATTAATGGATAAATAAAAGAAAGATTGCAAGAACAGGTTTAAAAATAAAATTCTGATTGTGCTGAGGAGGAGGAATATATAATAACAGGTACACTACTGACACCTGAAGAAACGGTTTGTGCCCATGAAAACTCATGATACCATCTACATGTTTTGTTAGTCTTTAAGGTGCTACTAGACTATTTGGTGTTTTTTAAGTTTTTCCTGTTACAGACTAACTCGGATACCCCTCTGAAGCTTTTTAGTATATAATAATTGTTAAACAATATCTTTATGTTTAGTATGAAATGCGCCATGAACAGCCACTTTTAATTTAAGGCAGGACTATGCAGCACTTTAAAGACTTTAAAGGTTTATTAGGTGATGAGCTTTTGTGGGCTAGACCCACTTCCTCAGATCAAATTGTAGAAAAAAATTGGCATGACCATATATTCCCAAGGCATACAATCAAACATCTCTATTACTATTTTAATTTAAGGATATGTCATGGCTTCAGCTTAAAGCCTCTATTTTCAGAATTTATAACTTCTTTTGTAGAAATCCACTCAAGAATTTTTTGTTGTTTTTGACTTCAAAGCAGTGCTTTGATCTATTTTCTAATTATTATAAAAGATTCTTCAAACTTTTTAGTCTCATGTTTTAACAATATTTTACCACCCCATATAAGGCATTCACTTTCATTCTATCAGTAAGCTAATCTTTTTAAAATTAAGAAAAAGCTCGTAGGAAATGTAACAGGAACATTTAGAGTTTGGAAGCATTTTGTCAAAACATGTTTACTAAAATTAATCTTAGGTTAATTCTTGCTTGACACTTTTTTTTGCCAACAGATTGATAGTGTTATAGTTCTCTAACCTTTAACACATACAAGTTCCACAGACTGAACATACAAATAAATTATCATTCCTTATATGCTCATGTTTTTCCTTGGATATTTTGTACCCATAAGTAATATTCAAATTTTACACACCTGTTTGCAGAAATTTTCAAAACACAAATTCTCTATCTCAAGTATCCAAATCAGGGATCACATTCTGACTTTATCTACAAGGAAAACTGAATAATGCCATCATTCATTTATGAATGACAATCTCTACTATTAAAATATATGAAGGATGCACCAGAAAATAAGGCTCCAGATCACTGTTCCTTAAACTATGTTCTGTGGAACACTGGTGTTCTGTGAACAACTCGCATGTGTGCCGTGACCTCATCTTTGTTTTTGTTATTTCGTTTTTAATCTTTTTTTTTGGTCTGACAATTTATTTTTGAAGAAAATTTTCATAGGTGTTCCGCATAAAAAATATTATTGTTTGGTGTTCTGTGTTCTCAAAAAGTTTAAGAAACACAGTTCTAAAAAATTTGCCCAACAGAGACAAAGACAGAAACAGAGACATCAATTTGAAAACAAAAACAAAAAACAGTTTGTCTGTTTTTAGGAATTCTCTCACCAAACAGCTATGAATCCTCACTGACTACAAATATTCAATACCCATAGGTTAATTTTACTATTTCTGTAATTTACTGCTGTTAATTTCTATTATTAAGTTACCTGTCATTAATGATCCAGTTCAGACAGAGATTGAGGGAACTAAGGTTTTTACATCTCTTCACTATTTCCATCACAGTTTCATTATCCAGTTCTGTGATATGACGTAGATCCAAGCTGGAAAGGTTTCTTAACTATTGAGAGAAATATAATAAAGAGAAAAGCACCTGAAAAGGTATTCATACTCAGGAAGTACTGACATATTTGTTTATAAAAGCTTTTACACTGTTCTTGAATCATGTGCAGTAATTGGACCTCGCTGGTCTGGCACTCTTGGGACCTGAGTGGTCTCAAAAGAGGGGATTTGCCAGAGTAGGGAAGGTCCCTCCCCGCATAGCTATACTGCCAGTAGTCTAGGGCTCTAGCCTGCCCCCCACTGGTGCCCCAGCCCCCCCTACCGGGGCTCTCCCTGGCCTCTCTGCTACCGGGAACAGAGAACCAAAGCCAGACCTGCGCAGCTGGGGCAGTGCTCCGCAGCCACCTGGCTCCATGACAGGGGCTGGAGCTCTGTGGCTGGGGTGGAGGGATGAGGCTGGAGTTCCACAGCCTGGCCCAGAGCTGCCTGGGTGCTGCTGGGGCTGGAGTTCCTTGGCCCCTGGAGCCAGAATGCAGCCAGAGCGCTGCGGCCGGGGATGGAGCCAGAGCTCCCTGGCTAACACTGGGGTCAGAGCTTCCTGGCCAGGGCTGGAGGTCCATGGCCATGGCCAGACTAGAGCTCCCTCCGCAGCCACCTGGCTCCTTGCCTTGCCATCCGTCTTCTCCACTGTCCCCCCAACCCCACACACACACGGCTCTCAGGTGAGTTGCAGTGCCCCTTACGGTGCTAGCACCCTGTCGCCAGACATATCTCTTCCTGGGCTCTGTGGTTCAGGAATATCCATGGTCCATGCCAGACCACAGATGTTGCCAGACCAGGGAGTCCCAATTAAGAGAGATACAATCTGTATAAGAAAGAGAGGAAAGATGCATTGCAGTTAATGAAAAGTCCTTCTCACTAGTCTGAAAAAGGCTTTAGGATAATCAGAAACATAATATATCAGCATCAGACAAGAAAAATTTCTTTAATCCAAAGAAAAATTTTTTTTGAAAATGTAATACGACTGAAATGACAGAATAAATGTTTGTCAGTATTATATGGGCCCTCTAACATATCTATATAGTTCACAGTGCTTTATCGGTTCTATTATGAACTTCCCCATCCCCAGCTTTATCTTTGGGCTCTATGAAATTAGAGGCTGCCAGCAACATCTTTTCCTCAAATACTAAAATGTTTATTTGGTGGTTATTTAGTTGAAGGCATATAAAGTTGATGCCTTCAAAAAAAATGTTACAACCTTAGAACCAAAATATATGACTGACTTTTAAAGTCAATCTTTGAAGGACATCAGTTTTCTTGTCTATGTTAGACTTCCTTCATCAAGTCCACAAATTTGTAGCTGGGCTCATGCAGTTTTAGAAAGACATCTAACCTTGATTTGAAGACTACAGAATGGGGAATCCTCAAACCATTACTAAATAGTCCAAATGGTGAATCATCCTCACAGCCACTGGTCTTCTGTATTGACAATCAACAAGCATTCAAAAATCATAAATAAGATCCTCCAAAATTACAAGATTGGCTTAGGTGTTATTTAAAAAAACCTGTGAGGGAGGGTATTTGCATTCTGGTTTCAAGCCTTTTGCACAAGCTTTAGATTACATATCAATGCTTTTCTTTGCAACCAGAAGCTTGAAACTTTTTGAGAGAGAGAATTGGATGCAAATGTAATCACTTAATTCCAGGAACTTGAGTCTTATGATAAAAATGCAAGAGTTAGCTATATTGTATCCTGTTATATCTTTAGACTTCTCTACTTAGTATAGTAATATGCACTCGAACCTATGATTTTCAAAGCACACTAATGTGTCGTACATGAATCGGTGCTTGTAGACCTTACAGGTATGCATTAAATGTTCTGTTAATGCCTGGGGGAAATGGAACCGTTAAGGAAAGCGAGGTTACTAAACTGTGCAAATCAAACCCCCTGTACCCCGTGTGCATAATCCCACTTTATAGTCAAACCCATTCTCTGCTGAACAGGCCTCTTTTTTCTGAAAGCTTCTCTCCGTGTAGGTATTTACAGAGAGCAATCAATACCACTTAAATTCTCTAATCTCTTTAGTCACTTAAGGGTGACCTGTCACTGTTTTCATATTGAAATGTGATTTTCATTTGACAACTTCCCTTTAAACCACAGCTTTCTTTCAAATTCATGGGATAGAAAGGTTATCTCCAAAACACTCAGTCTTCCTACAGACAGTAGACATTATCATTAGCATAATAGTTAACTGAACCCTGATTATAGTAGTTAGAACTACATAAAAATTGTGCTCCCTTCCAGCACATTCTGGACAGAGTAATTTCTTACAAAATAGTACTGTCTTATTATACCTAACAGCTGAAAATACTACATATTACAATAGTTATATATGGAAAATTTAAACAAGTATCTGTCCACAAGAACAGAGCTACAGAAAATTCAAAAGTACACAGAACACAATCCTGCCTTCCAGGCAGTAGCACAACCTGACAAACAATATGGCATCGGCATGGGTAACTTTAATAACCTGGTGTATTCCCATTTTAAACATTTTTTAGTATCTCCCTGTTAAAAAAAAAAAAAGAGGATGAACTCTACGTGCACTTAAGTGAAGGATGGTGCTCGCAAAAGGCTTTTTTTGAGCAACCATACACAAGTTGTCACAAACTTCTCAAACAATGACTCAATATCACAAGACTTTTTGTCGCAAAAGTTGTCACAAACTTCTCAAACAATGACTCAATCCCTTTGCTTCTAAATACACTTAATCATAGTAACTTCTAGTGTTTTCAAAAAAGCTATCAAATAATCTGTAGTTTCCTCTAGAACAAATAATTGCATGTAGGTAATACTGACATTTTAATTAAATTTACCTTCTCTGTATGAGAGAATAGTAATCCTAGTCAGTGATTTAAGTCACCACCAAGGACTTGATTAAGTAAAGACTTACAACTGAGATCATATAAATTGTTCACTTCAGTAGTTAAACTCTAAGTCGAGATATTTAAAAGAAACTAGGGACCCTGAATGCAGGCAAACTTTAGAACTGGTATAACAGTGTTATTCCACAAGGGCTAACTTTCTTCAATTTAAAGTTTGAAAAGAAATTAAATAGATTTATTGCCTACAAAACTCTGCTGAATAAGAGCTATATTCAGGGACCCAGTCTCCAATAATGGTTCGGATGCAGGATATTTCCTCAGGGAGTGGGAAAAGAATGCTACCCTCAGGGCCATCCGTAGGATTTATTGTGCCCTAGGCGGGATTATTAAACTGGTGCCCCTATGCCTGACTTGCTCTTCCACCCCTACTCCCTCCATTTCCATTTCCCACTTCCCTCAGACTGCTGCAGGCAGTGCATTGGGCTCTCTCTAGGACCCAGCCCTGCTATTAAATGCTCCACTACTTCCTGTCATAGGTATGCACAGCACATTTCATTAGGGTGCGCACCCAAAGAATTTTTTTAAAATGTACTCTATGACCCCCTTTAGCCACACCCCTGACCCCCGTTAGCCATGCTTCTGGAGGCAACACTCTCGGGGCAAGCAGGCATAGAATCTGAGTGAAGAAAAGAAACTTTTAATCAAAGAGAGAAGTCACATGGCATTATTTTGGGAAAATACCACAACAGGGTTCACTTACCCAAACTGTCTCCACACCCCATTTTAGATACCCCACTTACAGCTCTGTCCAGTCAGTGCAGACCCTGACACATCATCCGGATGACTCCCCTTCTTAGCTATGTCTACACTGGCGGGCATCCACACTGCCCACCTGCTCTTGCACAACAAGATTTACAGTATGGTGTGGTAAGGGAGGGCTTCTTACGCAAGAGCTATGCTCTTTTCTAACAGGTGTAAGCTGTCTTACGCAAGAGGGCAGTGTGGATGCGCGGCAGGGGTTTCTTGCGCAAGAAAGCCGTGTGGCTAAAATGGCCATCAGAGCTCTTGCGCAAGAGAGAGTCCACATTGCCATGGGCACTCTTGCACAAATGCACATGTTGCTCATGGCAGTGTTCTCGCACAAGAGTTCTTGCACAAGAACCCACCAAGAACATAGCTCTTGAGCCTGAGGCTAGGCCACCTTTGTGCTACTCCTGTAGTCCGCTGGCCGCTCCCGCTGCCCCCTCGCCCGGATTCCCATCGGCCGCTCCACTGGCTGCAATAGATCTGGCTCCTAGGCAAACCAGTGATTTCAGCTCTTAGTCATTTCAACTCTTTAGCTACCACCTAGGCTGGCAAAAGATTCCAGCTTCCACTGGACTAGCAAAAAGACTCCCCGCGGAGTCTACTTTAGGTCTGTCCTTAAAACCAGTCTTCCAGCTCACACCTGGCAGGCATGAAGCAGGATGACTCAGCCCTCAAGCCCTTTCTCTCCCCCGCCCCCCACCCCGCCCCAACTCAGTTCACTCAACTCTGGCAGGGGGGAGGCTTGTTCCTCTGAGACCTCTTACAATGATGGTGTCTCTCCTGCAACCACTGATGTCATATTTTACAGTTCCCACATTTAGGGGTAGCATGATTTATGACCCCCACAATAGCCCCAAATTAGTTACAATACACCACATTCCATTCCAACACTGATTCTCCATCGCCCTCACTGAATTGGATTTACATAACCACACCTCGGATTCCTTCCCCCTCCTGGCAAAAGCTATATTTACATATCAACAGTTAACACTTAATTATCTTGCAGAGCTAAACAATTGGAGTGAGCACACCCATCCCACAGGGCAGCTTTCTCCTTTTAGATGGCTGACAGCAAGCAGTAGTTTAGCCCCTGCTTACACATGCCCCACTGCTTCCCGTCCGTCCCAGCAGAGAGGTGCCCCAGAAATACTGGTGCCCTAGCCAACTGCCTATTCTGCCTATGGCTAAGGATGGCCCTGGCTACCCTCCAGACTGCAGAGCAGTTTTGTAGAGATAGGATGACTATATTTCCCAAAAGGAAAACAAGACACCATGCAGGATTGGCCCAAGCTACTTGTCCGAGTTACCCACCTCCCCAAGCTGACCTGAGCCACTGAGTTGAGGATGCTTCCCACATGAGGGGCA